CTGTTGCAAGAAGGAGAGGGAGATGTGTGCCATCCTGTGAGCTACTTCTCTGTGAAATTCAAGCACCACCAGCTGAACTACTCCACCATCGAGAAGGAGACGATGGCCTTGCTTCTATCCCTTCTGCATTTTGAAGTGTATGTGGGCTCCAGTTCATCGCCAGTGACAGTATACACGAATCACAACCATAACCAGCGGTTGATGTGTTGGGCCCTGCTGGTCCAAGGGTATAATATCAAGATAAAGCACAAGAAGGGAATAGACAATGTGGTGGCTGATGCTCTCTCCCGTGGGTGAGGTTTTTGTTGTTTGTTGTTATAATGTAAATTTATGTATGATATATTATGTGGGTTGGTTGTGTCCAAACGGGTGTTTGGACTTATGTGCCCTCTCTATCCCACTCTCTATCCCACTCCCACTGTCTATTCAGGTGCAGCCCTTTTCACTGCCTCCCAGCTGCAGCGCATGAGTGAACACGACTGTTCTCAATTGCTGATCAGTGACAGGGTGGATAAGAGGCTGGGAGATCCAGACCGACAGGCCCCCGCTGCCAGTGATCCAAGTGGCAGCCCACAAGCTGTGTGTTTTTGTGTAGCAGCGTTTATTGTTATTAAATCACTTTGTTAAGTCATCGGTTGCTCATGAGTCTCTTTCCCCGGGACTTTTTATATTGTTACTCCCCTCATCCCTTGGACTCAAAAGGGGAACATAACAGTAATTATTCAAAAGTGTCATCATTTATATTCTAGAGAGATTAAATACTTTATCAGCAAGTTTGAAATATAATCTGCACAATTCCTTATTTTGTGACAGATTACAAAATAAAAACTAAAGCCATGGAGCACTTCTGGTAAACCAAACTTGTTTATCCAGAATGTTGGCAAACTGTCCTCACTCTCTCACTTTCAGAACAAAGGCTCCTGTGTTTTGTGCTATGATCTGAGAAAAGATAACAGGATTGTAACGACTTGTTTGACCACTTTTAAAACTTTACTAACAACATCAAACATGATCGATACTAAAACAGACCAATATTTATATTTCATGAGCTCAAGCAGAGTCCTGAGAGATTATATTACATTTACAATAATGCATTTCTCCTTTACAGGGAAATATGGAGGTGGTTCAAAATAAATCCTAAATAATAATAATTCAGTCTGTAGTCCCTTAATTATGAGTTAAATGTAATTTTACTTGTAACCTAGTCTTTTTATAGCATGCTCTCTGTTCTTTGGGCACGCTATCATTCCAGCAATGTTTCATATGAACAAAATAACTGCTAGACTTCATAAGCAAATGGCCTATTTGTTTAGTTTGTATATTACTGTATATTACTATTACTGTGATTTAATTTATGCTTGGGTTACAATTATTAATCATCATCATCCAGAGCAATGTCCTCAATTAATTAAATAGTTAATTAGTTAATTATAATTAATGGAATAAATGGCAAATAGCAGCAGGAGCAAATTACAAATTAAAGTTTTACTTTAATGGTGCACAATCCGAAATATAAAGTATTTAGTCTGCCTCTCAATGGTTTTCTACATATTACAGTTATCAGCTGTAACCGTGAATGAGAGCAGTGTAGAGCAGCGGTTGTGAGCTGGTCTGTGGGGCACCGTCACATGCACTAAAAGTCAGATAACAACACACCAAGCAGGAAAGCAACTTCTTTCTCTGCTCAGGTAGACAGTCTGCTATATTTAGCTTTAACTGGCTTTATTATAGTTTGTTTTCCCTTTGTTTATTATAGCTGATCGTTTTTTGCATCGCCCACCCAGTCCGTGCATCGTATACAATAGCTCTTCAAAAGAAAAGAGAGAGAAAAAGAAATGACAGAGTTGTTTGTCATTGTCCTTCAGAGGTTTGGCAATGCAGTCAAACCTGCCTGACACCTGGAACATACTCCCTGCCAACAAAAAAACCACAACACACATGTTGGAAAGTCCCCTTGCTAACATGACGTTTTGGTATTCCGGGATAAATATTGCAAACTTCCTCCTCAAACTAAAACAAGCTTCTATATCATCTTTGTAATCAAATCAATTCCAAAACTGACTTTCTTATACAGCAGTAACTGTGAATATATGCCTTTTAAATCAAATGTATTGCACACAAAGGTTGTTTTTCTGCAGTGGCCCTAGGAAACATAGACAGCCTATGTTTATCATTTAAGCATAAGCTAAATCCTCTGGACACTAAATACTCCCTCATACAAAGTATGTCTGTGACAAAGAGGGGACAGAAACTTGGTACTGCACTGTGTCTCCACAAAGGGAAACAAAGATGCAAGATATTTTGTCTCATCGCATTAATCAAATCTAACTTGCTATTATAGCCCCTGTGGAGGGAAGTTATATCTCATGAGTCTGAATTGTGTGGCTACTGTTGTTCTGCTGGTTTAACACTTGAAGTGTCTTCCTGTCAGGCATCTGTTGTCAGCACCCACCCTGTACTGTTGCCTTTTGAATTGCAGTGCATCTAAATCAAACAGAAGTGTCCGAAAAGGGATTTTCAGCAGGAGACTCTTAATCTAAGGACTTAAAAATGCAGTTCCAAACAGAAGACAGAACATGATTCTCCTACCAACTTTGAGTTCTTCCCTGGAGATACTTTCTCTCCAGATGTAGTTTGACTGTGTTTTTGCAAACAATGTTGTCTGTAATGTTAATTTAGTCTGCCTCCTTTTGCACTTACATTTTAAGTGCCAATAAAATAATTTCAGCAGGTGAAAAGGAACTGGAAAACATTTTACATAAAAAATTTAATAAAAAAAAACACTTTAATACACACTTATTCCATGTAGGTAAAAATATTTTCCTTTCAAAACATTTTTCATTGTTTGTAGCAAATTATACTTATACTTCTGTGAGTATTAGACAAGACGTTGTCTTACTAAAAAGTTTGGTGAAGTGCGACATTAATGGAATTAGATTCCCAATCTAAGTTTCTTCATATATGAATGCAGCTGTCAATTAGGTGTCTTTGTAGACTGATTGAGAGTCAGGTAGCCTAAACCAGAGGTTCCAAAACTGGGGAGTAGGGCTCCTAAATTATAAAATCGATTAATCATTAATGCTTCAAGTTTTGTATTTCTATATTTGTTAAATGTGTACTAAAACATTTCTATGGGTCTGTCAGACCAAAATAAAGTATTAGATGCTGCAAGCACTGTCTTGTGTTTACTTTGAATAGATACTCAAAAAAGTTCAATTCAATTCAATTTATTTTGTATAGCCCAAAATCACAAATCACAAATTTGCCTCAGAGGACTTTACAATCTGTGCAACATACAACATCCTCTGTCCCAGAACCCTCGCATCGGAACAGGAAAAACTCCCCCAAAAAACATTTAACGGGGAGAAAAAAAGTATGAAACCTGTGGGAGAGCAACAGAGGAGGGATCCCTCTCCCAGGATGGACAGAAGTGCAATAGATGTCATGTGTACAGCATGAACAACATAACAAAGTTACAACACATTCAATGCATAGGACATACATTATTCATATCAGAATCAGAATCAGAACCGTTTATTGCCATGGTACTGGATAAATACAATTTACTGAGCTTCGAGAATTTTAGATTATTTTCAAATTTGTGGCTGGTTTATACAATTTTAAATGGTTTGACCCTTCCTCCACCATGTAACTTTGTGTATACTCGCTCAGTAAATTCTATTAGATCCTCAAGAATATCCTCTATACGAGACTGTACCATACCATTTTGCCGCACTGCATTTGGTCAATCAGCTTTTTCTGTAAAAGCCACACATCAGTGGAACACCCTGCCTGACAATGTGAGGAGCTGCAGCTCTATCAGCACTTTCAAAACCAACTTAAAAAGTCTGTTAAAAGCTGCTCAGCTCTGTACTCACTGACCTCGAATCTTATGGTCTTTATGACTTGCTTTTATCTGACAAACATACATTTGTGATGTGCTATTGTGTGTAGCTTTGTATTGTGTGTCTTGTGTGTTCCTTTTTGTATATCTTTGTATTATGTCTTTACCTTGTACTGTTTGTTATTGTGCTTTCCTAGTTTTGAACTGTCAAGGGACTACAGATGTGAATTAGCTTAAAGCTATAATCTGGTACAGTGCATCAAATGGTGACATAAAATAAATAAATAAAAATAGCCTCGGGCAACTTTAGTCATGACATAATGTGTTTGGTAATTCAATGTTTTGCAAATACAATTTATCGAACACATTTTTAAATGAGGATTTTAAATATGTTAATGTTGGAACTACTACAGTATGAAAGCAGAGTATGTGACAAAGAGTGACATTAAATGGTATACGCTTTACCTTTTTGTTATGCCTGATCATGAGGCTGACCCTAACGCAGCTGCCTGTACAACATCAAAAACTTGATGCCTTCAGTCTGGCTGCTAATTAAGAAGCAACAAACAACCTGTCACAGCTGCAAATTAATCAGTTAATAGATAGCACAGCGATTAAGGATTGTCTTATTTGAAAGAGGTATACTATGTGGGTGGACAGTCTAATCCAGGACAGTACTAACTTTTGAATCTAAGTAAAGAAAATAAGGAAACAAACATGAAAAAAAACAGATTATTGACATTGCTTGGATACAGTAATGGATGCATGAGAGGAGTGAAGCAGTCTTCCTGTCTGAGCTTTTGCTTTTGGAGGAGACAGTTGATAGGCCGTGCTGATCTTTTATGGTAATGACGCAGATTAGTTACACAGATTTAACAAATGTTATTCTTTTCATTTGTGTTATCACAGACAAATCAACTGTGCAGCTCGGCTCTTTACAAGAACTGATGGCAGAGTTGAGTGATGGCACCGTAGGCTAAGACTGTATTGTGACACCTCATGGATGTTTCAAATAGCCAGAATGCTTTCATTACTCACCCTACATTGGTATTTAAATCTTTCAACTAAACCCCCCCCCCCACTTCCCTCAAACTTTTACATTGTGCTTTAGCTCTTCCGTCATTCCGTTAACATGGAAATAACACAGGAGAACCAGTCCTGCAAGATCTGTCAGAGGTTTGAAAAGGAAGAATTTCTGGTCTGTCTAACAAAACTCTCAGTTACTGACAAGACTTAACTTCCATCTTCACGTCTTCAAGGTGTCTGGTACCTTCTTAGTGTCAGCTCTTACCATTCATTGAAGAATTGTTGCGAATATAACAATATTTTCTGCACAGTTGGACTCCACTGAGGTAAGAAAGCAACAATGTATATTGACATGGATGTACATATAAAATGTCAACCATAAGAAATCAATTAACTTTTTACCTTAAAAAAGGCTGTATATGGGGTGCCATAAATGTAGCTTTAGTTTTTTCAATGTTCAACCCATGCAAAAATACTTATGTACTTTGGATTTGGTGGTTTTCTGTACCACTTTTTTGTGACTGTGAATTGAATTGTGTGATTTTTAATGAATGCATTTCAATTTGGGGTCAGAAAGAAAGAAATTCTAATTCTAATTCACAATCTGTGCTTTTCCTTTAAGATGTGTAAAACATTTACCTCTCATTTTTATTGACTCTTCTTAACTTTTCAGGTATTTGCTCCGATACACCTTTGATTATTAAAAGTAACGGCTATGATTCTGAAGGCTGTAACAGTTAAACATTCAATAGCCTATATACTAATGGATTGTGATGCTTGGCTTGTCGGGGTGTGGCTGCTATCTTGCACCTTAATGTTCTGTCAGCTGTATATAATGAATATAAAGATCAGAATGTCCTGTGTTGTAGCCGCTGAGATTGTCTAATGGGAATTAATTTAACTCTTGTAAAATAATTGCTTTATTTGACAAATATAAATATTTATGTCATAAAATTATAATAATAATAATTAAATAATAACAAAAAAATGGCTTCTAATTGGAGAAAAGGTATAAAGTAAAGAAATGTATTCTGATCCAAATTACTTAAAACAAATTCAGTTTTTCACAGACAATCTCAAACTGAAAGGTTGACGCATACATAGCTTAGACAGATCAATACCACATCAGGATGTCTAGCAAGTTCAATAATGACTTAGTTTGTCTCTCTTATATTAATAATCCTACAAACCATAAGTGTATCAATATCAGATGATATTAAAATGTTGGAGCCCAAAGGTAGCAGAGTCCAGATCAAAATCTAATTGAGACAAGATAATTGAGAAGATGATGGGTTGTCTTTGTCATTATATGTATTGTTATTGTCTACTGAGCTGGTATCAAAAAGCAGGTGTTTGAAAAAGACCTGACAGACTCTTGTGTCTGATTTTGGCCTATATGAGATGTATTAAAGGTGACAGAAATGTGAATTGAATCCACACAGACAGTCGAAATGCCTCATAAACTGGTCAGCGGTCACATAAATTATTTCCTTTGAGAAATATAAATGGATCATATTGTGCTTTAGGCTGTGCATAAATTGAACTGAGCTTAGTCTTGTAGGCGTACCATACACTTGCTGTTTGAATCAGCCCTGGAGGTGTGATAATATCTGACAAAGTGAGACATGACAAAGTTACCCAATCTCGTCTCTCCAGAATGTTGACATACCCGATCCTGCCGTTTCTCACACTCAGAATGTGTTAACTGTCTTAAGCATGGCGACATTATGAGGATGAGTTTATCAGTGCGTCAGTGCCACACAGAGGAAGATGAGACCTTTTTTTTTTTATTATACTGCATTTGAGTTGCTATATCATAGGCTTTGTTTGCTGCTTATTAGGTGCACTTTGTTAGAACTAATACAACAGCCTTGCAATAAATCCTACAAAATGGTTATTCGGTTTAGTTTTTCTTGAAACAGTTTTAAAAGATGTGTTGATTCAAATCTATAGTCACTTCACAGGATGTTACTTGTGCTGTTGAATTGTATTTGTCACACTAAGAGATGTTTCCAATGTGCATCATCCTTATTGATATCAATGGGGTGAAAGAATACTCGAAATTTCACTTTAAATTACACACTTCTAACTATAACATCCAACTGGTCTTTCAGTTTAATCAAAACCTTTTTAAAAACAGCTTCTACTAAAACTGAACGTCATAACCTTTATGAATGAATTTATTGGAGAGCTGTTGTGTTAGAATGCATTATTTTAAATCTAGGTGTACGCAGTAAACTGGCAAATTATTGTAACCTGTATTCAAATTATATCAGTCTGCATATTGGTTCTGCATACTAAACTTTATTTGCAATGTATTTATAATGTGTTCTTGATATTTCACAGGAACCAGAAAAAAGGAGGATGGATCCTCTGATAATTGTTCTCCTGTTAGCAGGTATTTGTTGCAGTGCATGCTTCTGTGTGGGTGTAACTATGGAGCTTTTTTTCCTATTTTTATTCAAGAGTGTGCTTTTTCAATTTGAGAGCATAACTTATTAAATTCACGTTCAGATTTTGTGATGCTTTCCTTCAGAACCCTGTCCTCACACTGAAATAGCCCCGGCGTGCGCATGGATTTGCTCTGCTTCTGCTTAAACTGTATGCTTGCACGCAGATATATTGTTGCTTGCACATATTTCCTGTGGTCCAGCTTTAGCCCTTCTCCCCACACTCAGGCTGCTTCTTCATGTTTGTGAAATGTCTGCTCTCAGAGTTCTCCTCTGCTCTTGGATTTTTTGTGCAAGAACCTGATAAAAATTCCCCAAACAATAGTATGCCAGGTGAAGTGTTGACCGATGCGATGATCCCTGCCTTGTTGCGATTGCGTTCGCTTTACTCCCTGACGTCGGTCACTCTTTAACCTGGTTAATCACCTGCCTTCCTCAAATGCTTTATGATATTGCTTTATATATATATATATATATATATATATATATACGTATATCAGCACACCGCCCATGTTTTTACAGGGTTATTGCACAAAAAAAACAAAGAGCAGAGGAGAATTCTGAGAGCAGATATTTTACAAGCAAGCAGCAGCCTAAGTGTGAGGAGAAGGGCTGAAACTGGATCAAAGGAAATCTGTGCAAGCAACAATATATCTGAGTGCAAGCATACAGTTTGAGCAGAAATCCGAGCACAGGGTCTATTTAAGTGTGAGTACAGGGGTTTGAGGGAAAGCCTTACGAAAGTAATACATGTAAAAAGAAAGACCTTACTCTGAAATAAAGCTAGACAAAATGCTTGATATGTGATAGAACGAGAGAGTAATAATGACTTCATAATCTTTATTTTCAGCAGTCATTACACCAATTCAAGCCTCAGCTACAGTTGCACCTTCAACATCAGCAGTCAACATGACCTCACCACCAATCAACATGACCACACCACCAATCAACATGACCTCGCCACCAGTCAACATGACCTCACCACCAATCAACATGACCTCACCACCA